GTGGCAAAAGGTGATCACATGACCCCAGGATACTGTAACCTTCATAAATAGGAGCCAGTTGCCAAGCGTGTGAATTTTGATCACATGACCATGGAGATGCTACAATGGTCGTAAGTGTGGAAAAAACAGTGACTTTTTTTTCAGCTGTTCTAACTTTGAATGAACTGTTGTAAGTCCAGGACTATCTTTATACATCATGTAATTTTAAATTTTGTTTCTTTTCAATGATAGATTTGGGGTGGTTTTTTTTAAATGAAGCATGGATGAAATAATAAGAATTATAACCTGTCTTTCTCCAAAAGGGATGGCAAAAAAAGTGGGAAACTGTGCTTCCTTTTAAAGGTTAAGGGAAATGTATGATATTTTAAGAGGGGGGAAATTGCATCAGGAGAGCTATTGAATCCCAGGATACCTCTCTCCCCTGTTATTGAGAAGTCCCAGCCTGCCAAAGAGATACAAACTGAGAAAAGCTGCCCAATCCTGCACATGCTTGCTAAATACTGTCAATGTGGGGGGGAAAATTGTCTGATGAAATTGCCGTCACTTTAGGCAAGTCTTACTTTGATTTGCTTCACTCCTGATGATGCCAACCTTTTTCATTGTGATCCAGCAGCACTGAATACTCTGTGACCTTTGTCTTAAATGTGATTTATCCTTCCAGGCCTGTCTGGTTTAATTGCAAATCTTTTGTTACTGACTTGGTTTAATGGATAGCATTTTGCAAACGGTTGAATGATAAGATTTTCTGAAAGTTAAATGAAATGTGATGTAGTTGAAGCAGCCTTTCTCCAGGTTCACATCTTTTTGAAAATATGTCTGTTTCTAAGTTTAACGTTTATTTTCTAATAAGCAAGTAGATACAGCTGTCAGGGTTCCAGATAGCATCCAAAATTAAATCAGAGTCCAAGGCAAAGCATTCCTCAAAGTTCCACTTTATTAAGAGAGCCATGTTGGCACATTTGGGAAAACCCGAATCTGAAAGCTTCCCAGTTTTCCCCATCCAGTTGAAAGTTCAAGATCTTGCCCCCACACTCACAAGTCCTTCACATGGTCCAATCTTTCACTGCCATGCTGGCAGTTCCACCCATCCAGTTCCTGTCAGGTTTAGAGGTGCAAAGGCAAAGGATGACCTTGGCTTTCTAGAAAGAATTTTGTTATGGCTACATAGCATCTAACATAGCATCCAACTCCCTACAATCCCCCCTCCCATTTTCCCACAATAAAAAACCCATAGTAGAATAATAGAAAGCCTGGCAGGCCAAAGATCCAAAAGAAAAGATGGCTGCAGGCCTGACAACAGCAGTATGCAAATAGGGATGAATGAATACTTGAGGATAAAAAAATTAGTGGATACACTATTTTGTAGACCAAAATTTTGTCTACAAAGAAAAGAGGTTTGCTAAGTGTGTAGGTTACATTGCAGTTTTCTGTTTTTTGGTGTGTTTTGATCTTATTTTAGGAAAAACTATATAATTGGAATTTCAGAAATAAGAACTGTCTGAAAGGGATTTCAAACTATGATATCTTCTGATTAATTAACCAGTGAAAGATTGATGAAATCCATAAGAGGGGAAAAAACTTGTGATAGACAATTACAGCTCTGGCCTCACAATCAAGAGGTTGTGAGTTTGATCCTAGGTAAAGTCTCCTGCTTGGGCAGGGGGGTGGACTAGATGACCTGCAAGGTCCCTTCCAACTCTGTTAATCTGGACTGTCCTTGAGGTAGAGGAGGTGGGTGTCAAAAACATGAGAGTAGCAACTGTGACAAGGTGATTAAAGTCCTTGCCTTTCAATGTGTACTATAGGGCTAGGTGCTCATTTCGTGTTCTCATCTATTTTAAATTTGCTGATCCTTATAACTATTTCTAGAGAGCCAATAGCTCTAGAGAGATAATAGCTAGATTCTCGGATGTTCCATGATTAATCTGCAAACCCTTCCTTTGTCTTCCAGGTGATACGGAGAAGTGGTGATGAAGAAAAATTGCTGTGCTTAGTTCGTCAGCGTGCAGGACATCACTGCCAAACGGCTGTGATTGTGATACTTATTTTGGCTTGGGAAGGAATTCCTCACCTTCTTGCTGACACATTGTATAAGGAACTGACCCAGAGTCTCAGAAAATATGGCTGTCCAACTAGCCGCAGATGTGCATTAAATGAAGAGTAAGTACGCTTTAAAATATTTCATAGTATGAGCATATTTTAAAATATAAGGGATGTATGAGAGACTAATAATTTTACTTGATTGACAGTCTTCACTATGGTCATTACAATTGAAAAAGAAGCACACAATAATTTCTAATTTTTTAGTAGAGTGCAGATAGCATTCTGGGTATGATGTGTTAAGAGGACCAAAATGAACTTTCTCATTTTTCATTATTTTTATCCAGGCAAAAACAGATTATATGAAAATATAATTTTTCTTTCATTTTTTTAAAGAATGTCCTCTGTTGTTACTCACAGCTTTCTATCTTGCTTTTGATGTCTTCTAGAGGTAAATAGAATGAAGCACATTTTTCTACATTTTTTGTAGATGGCAAAATATAAACTCAATATAGTTGAAACTCTTTCTTAATGTGAAGAAACAGTGTGCTGGTGTACCACTGCTTCATCATTCCAAATTGCTTTTAATGACAGCTGCTGCAATTAAATCTTACAAATTCCCTTTCCTGCTTGTTTAATACAGTGCCTGAAATGAGGCTTGTATCTTATTCCTATCCTAACAAAACTTCAGTACTTTGTTCTCGGCACTCAAATCTGATTTGAGTTGGAAACCAAGCTTGAAGAAACCTAATTATCTGATGTGGCCATTATTCTAAATAATTCACATAAATGTATGTTATTTACTTGTCTCCTACTGACCGGAGCAGCCAAATTAAAGTATGTAGTCGTGTGCCGACTTTAATCCTGGAAAGGTTGGTGCAAACTTTTGCATTCCAATCAGGACATTTTTTGATGTTCTCTTAGAAGGCCCCAATTTGATAATTCCAGGAATGGTCAGTCATTTTCTGGAAGTGAACTTTCTACAACCGAAACAAACTTGCTTTGTACTACACATGTTTGAGTCTTCCATAATACTAGCAACTAAGTATGGAAGGCAATTTGAAGCTGCCTCAGTGATGGCACAGTCATTATTATTTTTTTACATGATCTAAAAATGAAAAAAATACACAGCCACAAAGAAGTGCACTATTTATTTCTCATAAACCCAATTAACAGTATCTATTCACTTTGGTAGCTCTACCTTCAGGCCTCTTTGCCTGAAGATAGTCCTTCACTTACAACAATTTGTTTAATGACCTTTCAAAGTCACATAGGCACAGAAAAAAGTGACTTATGACCATTTTTCACAATTACAACTGTTGCATCATCCCTGTGGTCACGTGATCAAAATTCAAACACTTGGCAGCTGACTCATTGATGACACTTGCCAGGGTCATGTGATCCTTTTTGTGACCTGACAATTAAAATCAGTGGGGAAGCCAGTCATTTAACAACTGTGTTACAAACTTAACAATTGCAGTGATTCACTTAACAGCTGTGGGAAGAAATGTTGTAAAATAGGCAAAACTCCCTTAACAACTGTCTCACTGCTCAATTGTAGTTGTAAATTAAGGACCACCTCTATTGGTGTAATATTGTGTAATATTAAATTCAAGCTACAGAAAAATGTATTAAAGTTGATTATAGACAAGTTGTTATTGCTTCCACCCATAATTGATTGGGGAGCAATGGCTGAGGAATCTGATGTGATAGCAACAAGGTATTTGGCAAAGCCCTAGAGCAGTGTTTCTCAACCTTGGCAACTTGAAGATGACTGGACTTCAACTCCCAGAATTCCCCAGCCAGCGAATGCTGGCTGGGGAATTCTGGGAGTTGAAGTCCAGACATCTTCAAGTTGCCAAGGTTGAGAAACACTGCCCTAGAGCCTTAAATGTTTAGTGATTGTCTACCCTGTGATGGAAAGGAGAAAAAAGCCACTTTTGAGCCTGCAGCGTGAGATTCATCAGATCTGATTGATTCTTACACTGGTCATAATCAGAAGCAGCCAGTGGTCTACATGCTTGTCTTGCTCTAGTCTAGTCTATTCCATTCAAAATAACACAGATTAATCAAAATTAAGAATTCCCCAGATGTTAGCTTTCAATGTATATGTTAGATTGACAGAGATTTGGGGCATCAATTTGTTGAAGATGAGGATCTTGCCCAACTAGCTGATTACCTACTTTTGGTTAATTTTTCTAGTCGTACTTGTGCCTGTCAAGGTCTCGACCCAGAGACATGTGGGGCATCCTTTTCATTTGGCTGTTCTTGGAGCATGTATTACAATGGCTGTAAGTTTGCCAGAAGCAAAATCCCCAGAAAATTTAGACTTCTCACAGATGATCACTCCCAAGTAAGTATTCTCCTTTCCTTCTTCCATAATGCAAATTTTAATGCTACGGTTTAAGTGCACAGGTATTATAAATGTTTTAAGCTTTTCAGAATGAGTGGAATCACGTTAGATTACATCCTCTCTATGTGGCTTAGATGAGCAAGCTAAGCATTACAACGAGCAATTTCTATTCATACACAGTAAATCACTTGTACTGACTTGTCTTACATGTAAGTAAGCACATAAAATCTCAGTTCCTGTCACCTCCAAAATGCTATGCTTTCATTACTCTGATCCATCCACCATAATTTACCAATTTGTACACATTGAATTGAACACTTTATTTGACAAGTATGAGCAGGTACACTAAGCTGGACAATAGCAATAGCACTTAGACCTATATACCACTTCATAGTGCTTTTACAGCCCTCTCTAAGCAGTGTACAGAGTCAGCCTCTTGCCCCCAACAATCTGGGTCCTCATTTTACACAGGAAGGATGGGAGGCTGAATCAACCTTGAGCCTGGTGAGATTTGAACTGCCAAACTGCAGCTAGCAGTCAGCTGAAGTATCCTGCAGTACGGCACTCTTAACCACTGCGCCATCTCGCCTCTTAAAATTAATTAAGAGTATGCTTTTATTTTCCTTTTAAGATTGAATGCGCACATTCACAGTGACTAATGTATATGAGCAATCCATTTTATAAAAAATGTTCCTTATTTTTAAAATATGGAACATTTCACAAATGCCAATTCTTGTTATGTACACGTTTGCTAACTTCCAGCGTAGTACATACTCCTGAAGCAGGCACTTGGTTGTACACTTATTTCGGGTGATCAAAAAGTTCATAGAGCAAACAAATGAAAGTTCTTCTTGTCATTGTTTTTATTAGAACCTTCTATTTTAGCTAAATATTAAATATTGATCATTTTACAGATGGCATAAAGCTAGGAGGTATAGAATGCAAATGCAGAAGAAGATAGATTGAAAGTAAAGACAGATATGGATCATTTGAACCCCTGGACGGAGTGAGATGAGGTTAAATGTAAAGAAGTATAAAATTATGCTCTTTAGGTAAGAATAGCCTGTAGTATAGAGATAAAACTAGAAACATCTGTTGTCTAGAAAGTAGTCCAGAATAATTTTTGGACAGGTAACACACTTATGTGGATTTGTGCTATTGTGATTTACTTATTCTGCTCAATAGTGCTCAAGGAGGTATTAAAATGATAGATAAGTTGATATTCTAGAATATGATGGTCAAAAATAACTGTACAACACTAGCACTGTTTAAAATACCCTGTTTCCCTAAAAATAAGACCTCCTCAGATAATAAGCCCAATTGGGCTTTTGAGCGCATGCGCTAAAATAAGCCCTCCCCTGAAAAAAGCCCTCCCCAAAAATCTTGCAACACAAAGCAGCCATGAGGTGACCATGCTCACTGCCTCCTGCACCTCAAAAATAATAAGACCTCCCCGAAAATAAGGCCAAGCGCTTATTTTGGGAGTCAAAAGAAAATAAGTCCCTTATCTTATTTTCGGGGAAACAAAGTAGTATATAGGTTTTTTGTCTTCACTTTTTATGGCAAGGAAATGCCAGGACAATTACACTGCATTCAATGTATTTATATGTAAACAATAAAAATATATTTTAAAAAGAAAAAAAGAATGAGATACAAGAAGCAGTTGCCCCCTGCCTTTGCCCTCTTCCTGCTGTACAAAGAAGAATTTAAAGCTGCTCTTTCATTTCTGTTCTGCTTAATTATGACTTGTTCTGCTTTCTAGCATAACAAGTGAGTTAACTTTGAACCGTGACTTGCTTATAGCTTGCCAGGTTCAAAGCATCATGTAGAATTATGGTGAGATAATTTTATGGAATGAATGAATCCAATCAGTCTATAAACTGCACATTATGGGTGGTAAGATTCAGCAAACCACATTTACAATTATTCACAGCACAGGATCTGGATGGGAGAAACTTAAGCTCTTGGGGTTTTTTGTTCATTTGTTTTTTATAGTAAAAGTGTAACCATCTAATGAAACATATTGTTCAAGGGTTACAGCCAAAATTGATAGTAAGTTCAGCTTGAGAAATAGGACTCCTTTGAACATTGTGCATAGGTTAAGGTGTAAATTCACCTGTGATATTCTTCTGCTTTTTTATTACCTCATTACATTGTTAATGGATATTACTCTGTTTTAAATAATGGGATATTTTCCAAACCTAAATATTTATAATGTAAAAGTCTTGTTGAGTCATTCACTTCCGTGGTTGAATTGATGGGTGCATTTCAAGAATTCTTTTGGGAATAATAGAGGGTCAATTTATCCCTCTTTTAATATGTGTTTTCAATTTTCCAATCAATCTTACAGCCTGAAAATACTTTCCTGAAATTCTCCCCTCCCAAATACTAGACAGGTCCATGTCTACTTAGTGAGATTAGCCTTGTTAGTTACCTGGGCACTGAATCTCATACTTTCTAAGGCTTCTATATTGGTCTGCTAAACTGATATATTGGCTTTAGCAAGTACAAAATGGGCCACATATTTGTTGTTCTATTGTTAGCCAGAAGCCTAACTTAGTAATATATATTTAAAGCATTTATTGCAGAGGTGTCCATCCTTGGCAACTTTAAGACCTGTGAATGTCAACTCCCAGAATTTCCCAGCTGGCTATGCTAGGAGTTGAAGTTCACAAGTCTTAAAGTTGCCGTGGTTGTAGACCCCTGAATTATTATTTGTTTTGTGCTTTTTTTCCTTTTTGCCTCTTTCTGGAAAGAGGTTGAGTTTGATCTACTGAGTCCCCATTTTTTAGACTCAAAGGGTCCCTTTGAAGAAACTCTTGCTTATCTTCCATCTTATGTCTCTTCTCCTCTGAGGATAATAAAATAATCCTCTTAGAGTAGTTCTAATTATTTTTAACACAATATGAAAACGAACAAAAAAGAGAAAGTTGAATAGCTGTATTGTCAGTTATGTAGTAAAATTTAAAATTCTATACAGGTAGTCCTTCATCTGTGTCCATTCATTCAGTGACCATTCAAAGTTATGATGGTGCTGAACAAATGATGGTTGTGATTGATCCTCAGAGCATTTCTGACCTGCTGCAGCACCCCATGATCACACACCCATTACAGAGGTAAACCTCCCTCATCTGCACATCCTCCTGCAGCCTTTGTGTGCTGTCAATCATTCTGCACCCTATCCAAGCTTTACAGACACCCTTGCACAGCCTCACAGTGGCCCTTGAGTCACTCCATCACCCTGAATACCTTCCCTGACCCATCCTATATTCTGAAGCACCTTTCCTCACCTGTTCTTCTCACACAACACTCAAGTCATCGCACACTCACCTCAACCTTCACCATGCCTCATACCCCTGTGCACTAGCCCCACATATACTCTCCCCTGCCTATACACACAATTCACATTACACCTCCACACACTTTCCAAGAGTTACTGTGCCTCTCACACAGACCCTCACATCCTCCATGAATTTAACAGATTAAAAAGAACCTTGTAGGTCATCTAGTCCCAACCCCACTACCCAAGCAGGAGACCCTACACCATTTCTGACAGATGGCAGTCCAGTCTCTTCTTGAAAGCTTCCAATGATGAAGCTTCCACAACTTCTGAAGGCAAGGCATTCCATTGGTTGATTGCTAACACATTCCCTAACACATTCCTAACCCTTGTGCACTGTCCCTGGCCTTCATGTACTTGCCCTGAGCCATGCTTGTTGTGGCCTGCCAGCGGCCAGCAGAGCTGGCAGCAGATTTGGACTGTGAGGAGGTTGGGGAAGAACATGGGAGAGTCCTGGAGTCTAGGGAAAGCTCTGACGTGGGCTCTGTGTCGGAGGCAGAGAGAGGTGCCAGAGCTCTATGCCAGTCATCTGCTACCTTCAGAGTCAGACATCAGTGAGGCAGACGAACAGCTGGAGCCTGTTCCCAGTGTGCTCATGCGCAGAGTTGCCAGACGAAGGGAACAGTTAAAGAACAGGAATCGACTTAGGAGTAAGGCCACAGGTGGATGATGAATAGCTCCTCCCAGAGGAAATAAAAGAGGAGTGAAAGGGGAGTGGAGTTTGCAGGAGACAATTAGTTCACTTAATTGGCTCCTGACTCTCCGAGGCTCCTTGCCACGTTTTGCAGATATTGGCCTGGCAGCTCTCCAAGCCAGATAAAGTGTGACTATAAGTCCTCCCTTAAAAGACTTTGCTCATGTGAATTAGCAGAATTCACGGTAAATTAATAAAAGGGTTTTTTGTTGGGACAAGGAGTTTGCTTCATGCTCTTGGGAAGCCTAGGTCAGAACAATACTGTGGCTCTCAGGTACCCCCTTGCAGTTCTCCCCCACCTGTCCTTCACACTTACACGACCTCCCCAAGCCACATTGCATATCTAGCACACCCCCTTACAACCTCATACATTCTTCCCAACCCATTCTGCATCTTCACATGCCACACACATACACTTGCACCCTTACACATTTGCCTGATCCATGCCACAGTCTCAAGCACATTCCCAGATCCATGCTATACCTCCATGCACCTTTCCTGATCTGCGTGCCATTCACACACCCTCTCATATCATCACACCCTCTCCCCAAATGTCACCAAGCCTACCCTGCATCCCACCCCCACTGTTTAATCCCTCCCCCCCCCCCAAACTCACACAGCAGAAGTCACTCAAATGCCTGCTGGCCTGGGATTTGCAACTTCCTGCCAGCTTCTTCATCAATTGTGGTTGTAGGACCCCAGTAGAAAGGTGTCTCATCAAACAACTATGGGATTCAGTTTACAATGGTAATTGGAACTTCAGGGATAATTGTTGCTAAGCGATGTGGTCATGCTCTATGACCACATCACTTAGCAATGGAAAATCCAGTTCCAATTGTTGTCATAAGCCAAGAACTACCTGTATTCAGTATATTGAAGGAAGAAAAGTCACTATTTCATGGCCAACCTGATAGGCTTTCTAACATTGTTAATAGCTGTTGGGCTAAGAAATGGTTTCCTTGCAAAGAAGAAAGAAATATTTTCCCCTTTGTCCGCTCTACTTTTAAATATATGGATAGTATTACTATTACAGTAGGAAACTTAAGTATCAAATATAAGCTACAATTAAGGTTGCTTTTACTAATTGCTTTATTCATAAACAATGCAATTATGGGGTAATTGCTTTCTTTATTTCCAGGAAGAAAATCTGGAAAACAATTTACAGACTTTAGCTACTGATGTGGCTCCATTATATCAAAAACTTGCCCCTGATGCTTTCCACAACCAAGTAGGTTGATGAATATTTCATATTATCTATATATATATATAAATGGCTGCGCTTGTTTGTGTCTGTGTGTGTGTGTGTGTTGTGTGTGTTTGTTTTCCAGCATAACTCTGGAACACCTCGAGCAATTTCAATCAAACTTGGTACACAGATTACTTACACTCCGGAAACAAAAACTGTGGGGGTAAGAAACCCCTCACATCCCTCGGGGTGTGTTACGTCCTCGGACTTCTGACCTGGGCTGAGCCGAGTTTCGGTGATTGGTTCCAGCGCGCCGGGGGACAGGCGCGCTAAACATAGCTGCAGATTGGCTGGCCACCAATAGCGGTCTTAAAAATAGCCATCAGACGGCCTCTCTTTTTGTCTGTCGTAGTTCTATGTTAGTTTGCTAATAAACGGTCCAACTGCAACTTGGCGTCTGGTGTTACCTTGGTTTGCAAACAAAGCAGGG